GCTTGTCTGTGTGAGTGCATGGCAAGTTGTGTGGGTGCCTGCAGAGGCCAGATGAGAATGTTGGATCCCCTGGAACTGGAGTTACAGGCTGTTGTGAGCTGATGGATGCTGGGAACTGAACCCAGGTCCTCTGGAAGAGTAACAGTGAGCTTTACTGCTGAACCATCTCTGCAGCCCTGTTCTTACCTTTCTTGACGAGTTTCTGAATTCTATTACTAGCTCCAACATTTTTGCAATTATCTGTGTCTGGTTATTAACATGTTATTTATACTCTCCTCCTCTTCTTCCCCGCTCCCATTTCCCCGAATTGGAAGCTGAGAGAATGGTGAGATTCTTAAAGTTAACATTATTTGGGCAGCAGCTGGTTCTTACCAGCCTTGGTTTTGTGGCAGAGGTGACAGTCTGTTTCTGTGGCCCATTGTTCTAATTATATTCCTAATGGATCACAACTCTCAGGATAAAACAATGTAACACGTTGTTTCATCTTCAGGGCAGCGCTTTATGATATGCTGGGAAACATTTCACAGTAACATGTGCAGCCAGAGCATTTACTGCTATTAGTTAACCAAGCAGCCCTGTGCCTCTTTCAGCTCCCTGACCCACATTTCATCCACACTCTGCTGTTTTTCTCCTGCTGTGTTATTTCCTGAGCAAAGCTCAGACCTTCTGAATCCCCCAGCAGAGAGAGCTCTGTTCTGACCTCCCTAAACAGGCAATTTCACCTGCTGGGCTAGTGTTTTTGTGCTACCTAGTCAATCTGTTAAGATTTTAGCACGAGATTCCAGGATACCTTTTCAGAAAACATATGGGGGATTGTAATTACTTTGACCTACTGCAATTTTAGAATTTAGAGATTAAGGAAGAGGTGTTCATAACCAAATCTGTGGGCATTTTACACAGCATTCTATGCAGCACAAGAGCATTTATGTGCCACATTTCACCCTTGGCACACTTGCCAAATGAATTGTTCAAAGCGAAGTTATATTAGGACAAATAGAAATGAGTACCAAGACCAGATGTGGATTTTTAGTTAATATTTATGCAACACCCAAAGGGAAGATGGGATTGCACAATAAACTAAAAATGTCTTAGGCAAATAAGGAAATCTTTACCCCGAGGAACTGGCACTGCAAAGGTATGAATTATACAACAAAGGGCCGGGAATGCAGAACAAATGTAGGGTAGGTCTGGTCGACTATAAAAAGGAATTCATTGAGGAAGTGGTGAGGTAGCAGATGTGTGGGCTCTACATGGGAAAATAAGGGCTTAGCACTTTTTTGGCCAACCTTGTGTCTAAGGTAGAAAGCACAAGCCAAGCACCTCATTCCCTTCAGCCATGGAGGGCAACGATAGCTTTAAATAGATGATATACAAATTCAGAGCCAAGGCACCTTAATAAACTAAAAATACCTACATCCCTACATTTTAAATGATCTTCAAGGGTTGGGATGACATGTTTAGTTCAATTTTCCCTCTGTAGTTGTTCAAGGAAGGTAGAAAATGCAAGAATTGGCTGCTTCTCAGCCCTTGGAGAGCAAGCTGAGCGAGACCATGGCTTAATACACTGCAAGGATACTGAGACCCATGTTAAATTATAATAGAAATTTTGATAGAAGCAACTGGATTTCTCAAGCACAGCAGGATATTCAGCCTTGCATTTATTAGGCATGGCAAGAAGTACCATTTTACAGCATATCTCACAACTCCCTGGGCTTCCAATTCAGAGGGGTTGGGAGGGTGGTGGATGGAGGAAGGTACAATTATCTATTTAAAAGTTTTGGACCTTTGAAATGGAGACAGCTTGGAGAAATGCTTATAAGATTTTAGTACTATGAACCCCTAACTCCCTAGTATAGTATTTTTATGCTTCTAAGTTTCATTGACTAAAGCTGTCCTTGTGTATCTTCTCCCACGGGGCTTCCTGAGGAAGTGATGTACTCAAGAATTTTTAACCCACTTCCTCACTCTGGCTTTTGTTGGTTCTTTGCTGTCTTTAAAGAAACAACAAATCAGTTTCTTCTTTCCTGATGAATATTTGTGGATTTTAAGTTCTTTTATAGTTTCCCCTAAATACATTTATTGTTCTTTTATTGTCAAATTTTCTTTTCAAGTTTCTTCTACATGTCCAGATGTTACAGGCTCTGTCTACAATGTGGAAAATAAGATTAAGAAGGTCCCCAGTGGTGGTTAAGAGCACTGACTCCTCTTTCAGAGGACCTGGGTTCAATTCCCAGCACCCACATAATGGCTAACAACCATCTGTAACTCCAGTTCCAGGGGAATCCAACACCTTCTGATCTCTGTAGGCACTGCATGACATGGGTACACTTACATATATGGAGGCAATACACTTGTACACTAAAATAAAAATAATAAATAACAAAAAAGGTTTCCAGCTTCATGAAGCTTTCATTCAAGTGATAATTTCAGATACTAACATATATGAAGGACATGTACAGGATAGAGTCTGGTGGAAGTGGGGTGAGCCTACTTTATAAAGTATGTGCTAGGGAGGATGTTTTTTGAAGCAATGGCATTTGAAAGAATACCTAATAGTAGAAATTTTCTGGAGAGGAAGCATTTCTTACCAGAAGAGGAAAGTAAGTTGGTTCTAGAGAAGATGTATGTGTGTCACAGAGATGAAAACATTGTGAAAGTGGTTGGGGGAGGCAGGGCCAAATGAGCCAGAGTAAGAATAGTTTTATTCTGTGTTCAATAGGAACATGTTTACGTGGAGAGGTTGTATTTGAAAGCATCTGTCTGGTGCTTCACATTAACACTTTAAGCAGGGAAGAGCTTCAGGTATAGAAGTAAGGAGATCATTTACAAGGCCCTTAGATTAGTCCATGCAGGAGATAATAGCTCATATAAGGACAAGGATTGGAGCAGGGTGGACCTGTGGGATGTGTTTTGGAGGTAACTCTCTAGGTTTTAGTTAAGAAATAAAAGACAGGGCTGGAGAGATGGCTCAGTGGTTAAGAACACTGGTTGTTCTTGCAGAAGACCAGGGTTCGAATCCCAGCACCCACATGGCAGCTAAGAATGGTCTGTAACTTGTCCCAGGGGATCTGACAGCCTCTTGTGACCTCCACAGGCATTGCACGACATGGGTGCATTTACCTACATGCAGGCAATACACGCATACACAATAAAATTAAAAAAAATAAAAGAGAAAGTAGGAAACTTTTTTTTTTTTTTTCGAGACAGCATCTCACCATGCAGCCCTGGTTGGCCTGGAACTCTGTATGCAAAGGTCTGAAATTCAAAGATTTGCCTGCCTCAGGCCTCCTGGGTTCTGAGATTTAAGGAGTGTGCCATGCCTGGCTCATAACAGTTAACCTTTAAGGCACCTTCCAGGATCCTTCTATATACTACAAGGTAACTTGTCTAACCAAATTAGTATCTATAAAGAAGATAGGCCACACAAATAATAAGTAGCTGAGCTGGGGCTCAAACCCAGGCATCTGACTTAAGAGTGTATGTATAGTCCTCCTTCAGAATCCTAGGATCCAATGTAAATATATGCTCCCAGGGGAGAGACAGAGGACCTTAATGGACCAAATGATGTAATTCTAAAGCCTTTTAAAACATAAAATATAGTGGGAACATATAAAAGATCAATCAGTCTTCAATGATATAGCTGATTTTTTTATTTGAGATTTCATTCGTGCATATGATGTGTTTTGAACAAATCCACCCTCCCATAACTGCTTTTTTAAATGTATGTTTACATTTTAGCAAGGCACAAAATTTGCCTGTTGTAGGTATGACATACTTGTCAATGTCTACAGGAACTCATAGATTCCCTTGCAGAATCAGGCACCTTTGTTCCTCAGGCATTCACACTCTTCAGCTCGCTGCCACATATGCGGAGGTTCCATTTCTTTCCGGACTTTGGCAGAGCTTGGTGGTTAGGTGCTGCTTTTCTAGTGGGGGCAAGTCAAACCTGCAAGGCAAAGGATAGGTTTTCCGTGCCCTGCAGCTGCCTTGCAGCAGGGGGAGCTGCAGTAGTGTTCATCGCGGTCCTAGCAAGCTGCGGGTCCAGTGAGAAAGGGGAGTCGGCAGGAAGGAGGTGTGGCAGACAGCCCGTGGTCCTCTTCGGTTGTGCAACTTTAGTACCCAGAGCTCGTTCTACCGAGACCATTCTTGTACGCCATATTTCATCATGTTGGATGCTTTCCATCCAGTCTGCATCCGGGCGGAAAGGCAAGGGCATTAGCTTTCCGCTTTGCTGGGTTTAAGGACAGTGCAGGTTGCGCTAGCATCCTCTCTTCTGGGTTCTCAGGGTCAGCCTGACAATCTTGAAACCTAGAAAGACACCCTACCCTGGCAATCTGTGCCAGTTCCTCACCTTCCTTTCTCCTCCCGCACACGCCTCTTTTTCTGGATCTTTTATCTTAATCTTACTGCGGGAACACATCTTTCCTCACATGTTTTTCCACTGACATTAGGGTCGATGATGGCGATGGCGTGGTCTGAGTTGAAATCTCTCGCTCCCCGGCTTCCAACACGCCTTCCCACCCCAATTCGGCTCATGCACGTGTGTTTGTGAGTGGCAACCCAGGCTGCCAGCACTCTCACCAAATGTTCTTCTTCTCGGGTCCCCAGAAGTCTCCAGCTGACCAGACCTACGCCTGGCAGAGCTAGGCACCGAGCGCTGAGTCTGGGATCTAGCGGGTGCGAGGCGCTGCCAGGCACCGCAGACCAAGCCGCCGACTCCTCCGGTCGCCTTCCTCCCCCAGCTCCTCCCTCCCCCTCAGGGCGCGCTCCAGCTATCCCTTCGGGCAGTCTTCCAACAGCCGTCCTCGTCCCCGGGGCTTTCCAGAGAGAAAACGAAGGTGAAAGAAGAGGAAGGAGGGAGACAGGCTGGAGGAGGAGGAAGCGGGAGCCTCTGGGAGGATGGGCGGAGCCTGCAGCCTGTTGGGGGAGAGTGGGAGGAGCCTGCGGGGAGGATCTGGGTGGAGAAAGGGGCCGGACTAGCCTGGGATGGAGGGCTGGCCACGCAGGCGCGGGGGGCCGTGTCCTGAACCCCACGCGGGAGCTTGTGGAGTCCCCAGCCGCCGCTTCTCACTTCACTGGAGAAGGGGCGGGGAGGGAGCCAATAAAGAGTGAATGTGCTGCAGCCGCTGTGGCGGCGGGAGTCGGTGCGAGCGACACCGGAGTCGTGCGCCCGGAAGGCGGCGGGGGGAGGCGGTTCACCTCGTCCCTCGCACCCGCCCCTCCTTCTCTCTTTTCCTTTGGCTGGTCCCAGAACCGAGCTCGGTCTGGCCCCTCCGCCCCCCATCCCGCACCGGTCCACCTCCTCCGAGTCCCAGTCCTCACCTAGGGCGTCCCAAAGTGCCATGGGTTAGGGTGGGGACCGAGAGCCCCGCGAAAGGACCAGCCCTGAGCATCCGCCGGGGGGCGCGGAGTCGGATCGCCGCTAGCAGCTGGCGGGCGCCGGGCACTGGGAGCGCGGTGCAAGCAAGCAACCCGGGAGCACTCAGGAGCCGCGGAGCCCGGCGCCGGGAGGAGGCGGCGGAGCAGAGCCGGGGATCGGAAGGAGCCTAGGGAGGGCGAGGAGGCGGGCGGGGAAGCCGGGGAAAAGTGCAGCCGGGAGGAGCAGGCGGCGGAAGGTGGGGATTGATGCTTCTGTTTTTTGTTGCCGCTGCTGCCCTCACGCTGGGAGCCGAGCCCGAGGGAAGGTGGTGGAGAGATGATTGCAGAGTTGGTGAGCAGCGCTCTGGGGCTCGCCTTGTATCTCAACACCCTGAGTGCGGATTTCTGCTACGATGACAGGTAAGAGGGTGAGAGGAAGGGGCGATGGCTGCGGTGCCGGGGGCTCCTCGGTGGCACTGGAGCTGCGGGCTGTCAGACTCGGAGTACGCCCTGGAGGGGCTGGTTCCGCACCTGAAGGTTTTTGGGCAACCGGAAAACATTAACACCTAAAGCAAATACCCGGGACGCCGGCGCGCTGGGCGGGCCGAGCGACTTTCCGCTCCTACTTTGCAGCAGGTTCTCTCTTGTTTCTCGCCTGTTGGCAGACGCTTAAGTTTCTCAACGGAAATCCTGGCAATTTGGAAAACCGTACTAAACCGTACTAAAAAGAATAGTCCTAGATATTCCTTGGTGCAAAAGGAAAAAAAAGCACATTAAGTGATTTTTTTTTTTTTTACGGGTGGGCTAGAAGGAAGCTGCTCCCCGTTCCTTAGTAGATCTTCCTGGTGCCGTTTCCTTTTCTTGAAAGGACACTTTTATTTCCCGAAGTTCAAACGCTTGTTGACAATTGTCAAAACAGTGGTAAGAGAGCGCATACTGGGCTTCATCCTGCCTTTTGACATGTAAGGTACTCTGCCTGGAGCAGGCATCATCTGTCTGCTGATTGTACCCTCACTCCACTCTCCCAGGTCGCCCACCAATCGATGGGACAGCACTTTACCAAAGCACCAGCGGCTTTCAGCCCTGTTTGGGAGTTTTGCATTAGACATTAGTGATTCTCTTGTGCTAATTGGGGAAGAAGTCCCTAGAGATTTAAGTTGTCGTCTTCATTTGGGTTAGTGTGGGTGGCTAATGAGACCCGAACTGTGTTGTCAGAGAAACTGCATTGATTCCTGGAAAATGCCACAGTCGGGCTGGTGTCTCTACCTAGTTTTTAAACGTTGTTAGTGTTTAGAAACTGAAGAAAAGTTCCAATAGCCATTAGGCAAAATAACAATTTGTGCCTTTCCGGTGACTTAAACTGATTACAATTAAAACAGATGCATAATTAAAACATATTAGAGAGAACAGCATGCCTGGCCAAACTTATTAACCGTCCTGGGGTGTTTCATGCTCCATTGAAATTAAACCATCCAAAAAGTGAGCACAGATTTACTTTGACAGGTTTTCAGCAGCCTCTCTGGGCTTTGGAGAGTAAATGGATCCCCAGGGTTAGGGCAGTGAGTGAACTTAAGTGAAGTGGTTGATGGGGAGGGAGGCCAAGGCAGACTCTCTGCTGCTAATTAGCCATATTCTGTATTCTCTGTGTCATTCCCCTGCTAACAGCACGTTCGTGGATGTCTGACTTAAATCAGTGGTTCTTGGTTCACACTCTCAAGTCTGTTGGGAAATCCTCTGATAATAGTTCAAGAATACTCCACACCCCCTTAATGTGCTTCATGTTGTGTCTAGCTCTGCTAGACAAACTTTTACTCAACTTTTAAGCAGTGTGCTGACATTAGCACTTACACCACTTGCTGTAAGAAATGTTCTGAGTGTAAGAGTGAGGTGAGCTGAGCTGCTTGTTTTTCTTCCTCCAATTCTCTGTGATAAAGCACCTACTCTTTTAAGGATATCAGTGAGATAGCCTTTGCTTCATAATATTAATGGCTTTTTCCTAATAGAGTTCAGGGATGAGTCAGGGCAGTTACTGGCTCCAGTGGGGACAGTTTGAGGAGTAAGCATTGAAACCAGTAATGTGGTGCTTATGAAGAAAGGAAACAGTGATACTGTTACCATTGTAGAACATTGTGATAAACAAAGCATCCTTGTACAATGCTCTTCATAGTTTCTGTCCAGTTCTTAAAAGAGGACGTGCAAGGAAAGAACATCCTTTTAAAATTGGGACTGAAACTTAAGTACATGTGCATGTACATTTTTCTGTAGGTCTACTTCGTGCTCTTGAGTCATAAATTAGAAATGTTTGGACTTTGAAACTCTTGAGAGTGTGATGATAAATGGGTTATGCTTTAATGACTGGCAGTTCTTAGGAGTTCTTTACCTGTTATAGGTCAAATTGAGTGTTAAAATACCTGACTTATATTTTCTGTTTCCATAGATGAATTTAGTATGATGATTTTCTCATATCATATAAATGATACCATGTTGAATATGGTGTGTACACATTGCATACTGATAGAATGTTGACGGCCTAACATAGGAGTTGTGCTTTGTTATACTTTAAAAAGTGTTCTCTGTTGATTTCTTAGCAATACTGCATATACAGCCACATGTTATAAATGCGAAATCTTAAGAATAGAAAACTTCATTTTTATGTATCCTAGAAATCATAAGGTACATATTTATGCAGCACTGAACTTATTTGCTGTGTGCACTGCGTGTGAAAGTGATTCATTGCCAAGGCACACTGTAAACTGTGGCTTTGCAAATACACTTTCTATGTAAGTACTGTAACTCACTGGTGTGTGAAGAGGGAAGAGAACTGGGGGAACCAAGTGGAAACTGTAGGATGATGATAATAAGTTTGTTTCCACTGCTCCATTTCAGGCTACAGAGATTCACATTTAAAACATTGCTTAAATTACATCTGTGGATTCTGCTGCTCCCCAGGAACTTCTGTGAAATACAATTCTATAACAGAGGCCTCTGCTGGAATTGGAGAGAGCCGTAGTCAAGAAGGGAGATAGCTCTATGAATGACCTGCCCAATAAACCAAGACACTGCATCTTAACCTGAAGAATCTGGCCTTTACTTTAGGAGGGCTTTCTTTATATTGCTTTAGCTTAAACATTATTGCTGTGGTATTTCTCAAAGTCACCAGTTTTTTAAAAATATAGTAATCAAGTTTATGTTATAAACTATATATGTGTAATTACCGTCAATCTTTGATGTAACTTGGTTGAAATTAAGTGGTAACTTGAAGCTTTTCTTAAAGCAAAAATCAGTTTCCCTATGGTAAGATTTACTATTTTACAAGTGTTTCTGTGCTAAGCTTAAGAATATGTCTATAATGTGTTGAAACACTCGGTGCAGAAGCAGAATTCACAGTATCTGATGAGAAAAGGCATACATAATTTTGGCTTTATTTTCCCTTGTCATCTTCAGTATAATGTAATGACTACCTTGAAACTAAAATTGTGGTAGGAGTCAAATTGAAATTGCAAACATGCAGTGCTTGCCAAATTTTAAGCTGGGTGGTGGCACATGCCTTTAATCACAGCTCTCAGGTGGCAGGGGCTGGTAGATCTCTGTGAGATGGAGGCCAGCCTGGTCTATATAGCAAGTTCTAGGCCAATTGGTCTATAAGGAGACCCCATCTAAAAACTAAACAAAACAAACAGAAAAAGAGTTTTCTGGAAAAACTTAGTGTTTAAGAAAGTGGAAAAAATCCTGGGTAATCCCAGATCCTCTGCTCTCTTATGTACCTGTTGAGGATGTTTAATCGTTTGCCATCATCGAATCATTTTCCATCGTCCTCTTTAAAATGCACTTTGAGGTTTTGGAATTGAAACCTTTTTTTTATAGCTCCTTCAAGATTTATGTCTCTGTTACTCATTTTACTGTTGTTTTTTTTTTGTGTGTATGTGTATGTGTGTATGTATGTATGTTTGTGTGTATGCTGTTTGTACATGTGATGACCTGAAGTTTACATCTAGTGTTTTCCTCCATTTCTCTATACCTTTTATATTGAAGCAGGGTCTCTTACTGAACCTGAGCTTGTTGATTGCCACTATTCCAGTTAACAAGTTTGCCCTAATGATCCTGTTTCCACTTTCCCAGTGCTGATATAACAGGTGTGGCCAGGTCTGGTTGGCTTTTATGTACACTCTGGGAATCTGAACTCTGGACCTCATGGTTGTACGACAAGTGGTTTATTCATTGGACCATCTTCTCAGCCTCTAATTTTGCTTTTCTTAAATCCAGCTATGTTCCTCTCTCCTCTTCTTCTCTACCTCCTCCCTTTGAGACAGAGTCTCACTTCATAGTAGCCTAGGCTGGCCTTGATCTCCTGATCTTGCCTCTGACTCCTGAGTGCTGGGATTACAGGGCAGTGCTAATACATCTAACCATTTACTCAAGAACTCTTTTCTTTTTCATTTTCTTTTTAAAGATAAGGCCTTACTATGTAGCCTTTGCTGGCCTGGAACTTACTATATAGACCCAGCTGGCCTTGATTTCACAGAGATTCACCTGCCTCTACCACTCCAGTGCTGGGATTAATAATGTGTACCACTGTGGTTCTCAGAACGTTTTAAAAATTTATTTATTTATTTATTTTATGTGTATGAATATTTTGCCTGCATACATGTAAGTACAACTTTTGTGAGCAAGGCCCGTGGAGGTCAGAAGAGGGCGTGAGATCTCCTGGAACTGGAGTTATGGATGATTGGGAATGAACCAGAGCCTTCTAGAAGAGCAGCCAGTGCTCCTAACTGCTGAACCATCTCTCCAGCCCCACTACCCAGAACTCTTAATAGCATGTTTCTGGTTTAGTTTTTCAAATGAATATAAATATAAACCTTCGATTTTATAGAAACACTAGTGAAGATTTTTTTCATAACTATTTTGACTGGTAGTGTTTAAATGAAAGAAAAGATTTAAGGCACATTAACAATTTTTTCAGAAACCTTTTTTCTTCTATTAGAGTCTTTTCTCATTTTTTTAAACATCTTTTATTTATTATTTTTATTTTATGTGTATGAGTGTATTGCCTGCATGTAGGTAAGTGCAGCTGTGTCATAAGATGCCTGTGGAGGACAGAAGAGGCCGTCAGATCCCCCGGAACTGGAGTTATGGAGAGTTCTTAGCTGCCATGTGGGTGCTGGGATTCAAATCTGGCTCTTCTGCAAGAACAACCAGTGTTCTTAATCATTAATCCATGTCTCCAGCCCCCTCTTTTTACTTTTTTAAAAAAATATTTTATCTATTTTTATTTTATGTGTATGAGTACATTGCCTGCATGTCTGTGAGTGCACCCATGTCCTGCAATGCCTGTGGAGGTCAGAAGTGGGTATCTGACTCCCTTGGAACTGGAGTTACGGATGGTTGTTAATAGCCATGTGAGTGCTGGAACCCCGGCC